TATATCTCTGAATATTTCTAATTTAGAAATTGTGATTAGTACCAATGCAATATAGATTATAATATAGATATTTATTTTAATTCAAAGTTGGATTGCATGGCCATATTACTTCCTTTTACAACTAAAAATTTAATGAACTCATAGAGAGCGAATGATCCCTTAAACACGGTTGGTCTAACTTTTAAGGTTTTTGACGTAGCGAATTTTTTTCGGTATTTATAGGAAGACTAATATGGATTGAAAATTGAAAATTTCAATAAATAGGTACATAAAAAACCTCAACATTTTTTGAAAATATTATCATGTATATGAAATTAAGAAATGATGAAATGAACATTTGGAAAAATGTCTGGGATCTATAATATTCTTATTTTAGTGTATTTTTACTATTTTGTAAAATATATTATAATGTACATTTAATTTTTTTAATACGCGAGAGCACACTATTTGATGCATTGGATAGTCCGTAACAATAGACAATATAATAATATAAGAAKCGCATATGGAAAGTAATAAATAAATAAATTATTTAGTCCTACAGGTTTTTTTTAGTGAGATATACACCCCCCTCCCCCTAGTGTTTATTGCTTCATTATCTTGCAATCGGTACTCGAGTTTAGCGCAGTAGGTTACAAACAGATGTTTGAACGTTGGACCATAATAGAATATAATAATCGATTGGACGGCGGACGCTCTCCAGAAGCGATAAACATATAATAATATGTCTAAGGTTCATATTAAGCTGTGACCTAAGAAAATTTACATAATAATATGAAAATATATATTATATACATTATTTTTTTAATTATTGACGTGTAAAAAAGTTGTTCAATTTTAGTTATTATTTCAACGGTTACATATAAGTTATTATAAAAATGACTGATGAATTGAATTAAAGCGATTGACRTTTTTCAAGGAGTAGTTAGTGTAGGGCTAGGCACATCGGGTCAGATGTTGGTATACCTTAACGCAGTTTTCTTGCGCGTGCGCACAATTTTGAAACTAAGTGGAGAGTATACGCGGTGATGAATGTACATAGTTGGTAGGGAGCGGGGTTGTAGGAATTTTGATTTTAATTTTCGGCTTATAACAGGTCTGATGTGTACAATAATGTTAACACTATAWACCTACCTAAGCGAATCACATTCTCAAATCTAAGTAGAGAATATATACCGGTATTAAGTAGACAGGGCTAGTGGGTAGCGGGGTTGTAGGAATTTTTGGTTTTGATTTTCAGATTATAACGGGTCCGATGTGTACTATCATGCATATTAAAATAAATGTATACTAATGTAATATTAGTGTATATTATATGTTAAAATAAATAAGGTTATGCAAATGATGGGAAATCATAGAGATTTCTGGTTTTTACAAAATAAATAGAATTTGTTTTTGTATGCCTATAATGGTTTTTTATATATTAAATTATGAATAAATTATGATCGTGAAAAGCAATATTGACGTCCAGTTTAATGTCATATAATATACATATTATATATATTATACACGTATAAAGAATATGGCACCCACGAATTTCAGAAGGTTTGTCAAGAACACGAAATCAATTATTTTAAAACCATCATTCAGCATAATAATACATTAATCGGTATTCGCGAAAAATTACCTACCTATATGAACAAAATAATAATATGTTAACATTTGATTAATGCTGCGCACTTGTCGAGCACGCTGCAATGAGCATAATATATTGTATTATATACTTGTATATTATATATCGTCACGACAGCGAAGACGTCTATGGAGGGTTGTGCGCAGGGGTAAATGTCAAAAAAGACGACGGGCACAAATAATACGAAATACGTCGAAAACGACGGAAATTTGGTCGGACGGTATACTTACAGTTTTCCTCGTCGACGAAATATCCGCAACCACGTGAACGAGAGTGGCCGTTTGCGCAGGTCAAACCGGCTCAGACGAACAACGTCTCAGCTGGAACGGGACTTAAACGTGGTCTACTCGGCGCTAATACTCATTTGCGTGTATCGCACACGACTTCGGTACACCAGATACAGCCTCCGCGGGATGATCTGCAGGGAGCGCACCCGTCGAGTGATCGGCAGGAACGAGGGGTGGGTGGGCTGGCTAGCCGTAAGTGGGTCGCGGTTGATGTCGGGTGGTGGTGGCGCTCACTCACTTTCGGTTAGCACGCGCGGGCGAGGGGGTGGGATGGCGCCCACGCACAACTGTTGGATTCGCGGGACCGGGAAAATCGATAGCGGCCGGTAACGTCGCCACATCAGCGGGGCCACCACTGATGGACGGAGCATGTTGCGTCTTCTCTCCACACGGACTGGCCATGCGGCGGCGGCGGCGGCGTCCGCGGTGGTTGCGGACGAGTGGAGTGGGGACCGCCGACGCGCGCGGTAGGTTTACTGAGGAAATAATATTACACAGTCACACACACACTCGCAAACATCGCGCGCGCGCTAGAGAGGTTTCAATAGTCCTCGCCCGTACACCGGTCGTCGCGGTTCAGGTGCGTTGGCCCCGAGAGCTGTAGTGTAGCAGCTGGAGTGCGCGCCAAAATATAACGAAAAWATATTACTCTACATCACGACAAACGGTTCGCGAGTGCGTGCACACAGTAGGTATTGTATTGTAGTTGTCACGGKGGCGTTTTGTCGCGACTTCCGTTTTTATAGCACCAATAACACTATTAAATAACATTGTAGTCGAATAACAAAATAATTGCAAGCGTTCCGCCGCCGGTGACGGGTGACACGCTCTCCGCGTGACRTTTACTGCAACGTCCGTTTTGGTGGTRGCGTTGGCGGTGATGTGGTATAGAGGTGCTTGCCGTGCGCACATGATTCGCGCGGTCACCGTCTCGTAGGCGAGCAGCGGATCAGTACGMGTGYTCCATATATTGTCGCCGTCCTCTCCGCAGTCGTCCGCGGACAACCGGTCTTCGCGGCAGTATTTTCCGCACGCCCGCAAGTTTGCAGTCACGCCCGTTCGTCAACGCCACTGTCGCAGCAGCGTCATGCCGTTGGTCACGTACTCGAGGTCTTTGGTCTCGCTGGTGGTGATCGTCGCTGTCACTACCATATGGCCGTCCGCCGAGTCGTACCATGTAGACAAGTACTCGCTGCTCATGCCCAACGTCCGGCCCAAAAAGGTGAGTACCTATATAGTGCTGGGTGGGCAATTTACAATTTACAATGATATTTACACAATTAGCGAAATCCAACCAATCTAGTATTCAGAACGACAAAATATATGAATAATTTCAACATGAAAAAAAAATGAACTTAGACGCAGAAAAAAATAACGTAAAATTGAAAAAATACTATTCCCCATATAAATATTGATCTCGGGTCATATCTAACGTACTTATACAAACAGAATTAGAAAAAAATATAGTTATGAAAAAAGTGGAGAAAACTGCCGCAGCTCCTAATTTAGTTTCGTAATATACCTACGTACCTAGTACCTAYCGACAAAAAATAATAATGCATATCTCGTTGATAAGTGAACTGCAGGATGACTATTAGTATAATATGAAATCCGTCTAGAAAATCGATATCGTGATTGGTAAGGTCGTAAATAAACATATTGCAGGGGATGTCATTTTAAACTATAAAAATATATTATAATTTATAAATACTTCTACCAATAATTGAGAGACAACCGACGAACCACTAAACTATATAATGATAAAAACCTGATATACTGATATGACGCACTKTGCGCGAGCGACACGTCTGTAATGCAGTTATTACGACACTTGATGAAAATAGGCCACCTTTAAAATCTTTAAATACAAGACGTGATCTAACTACATAATATATTGTGGTACAACCTGTAACCCTCTGTAAAAGTACCAATACCACAAATATTGGGGTGGTCTCAGTAGCGTTTTTACTGAGTATAGGCCGACTAGGCCCGGGCATGTCCAATTTTTATTTGACTGTTAGGTTTTTTTTTACCACAAATAAAAATGTTATTATTAATATTAAATAAGCGAATGTCCTTTGTTCTATAAATTTATATTATTTATTTTTATTTTTATTTTATAATTTTATTAATTTTTAAGTATTTTCTATAAAGAATTAAGACTGAAGTTATATTTTTTAGTATATTACCCTGGCCCCTGAGTATTTTATTGTATTTTGTACTGCAGACGCTACTGGTGATTTGATATTTATCACAAACTCATAATATGAAGGTATCAGTTACATTATTGATATTTGATGTGATATATATTTTTTCTGGTGACGGATCTATATACGCATTATTGATAACATCTCGTTTTCGATGTGCGTGGRTTAGGTACACATTTTTTGGGGACCACACTCAGATCTCCAGATTCTCCAGTAGAAATTTTTTAATAGCTGTAGTATTACTATTTACTATACGATTTTTGTGATTTATTGTCATTGTGAACGATTTACCTATATATATTGCTTTTGATATTTTAGTTTGATCACTTRATAATTGACTTACAACAACTGATACTTGTGATTTTTATGTAAAACGCATTTGTGGTTTTTTCGAGAAATTTTCTCCAAGTTAAAACATATTGTGTCGTGGTGGGTGAGATTTTAGGGGGAGATGGTGGGCGAGCGACCCTCACTCGGTAGTCCTACGCAAATTTAGTTCATTCGTCYGGGTCATGTATTATTGTACAACAAAAAACGACGATGTGAATAAGTTTATGGCGTATTTTTCGTATTTATAAGTTGTGATGTTGGCGAAAGCATTAAATTTAACGTCGTATAAAACTATATAGTTGCACCGTGTTTTTTGTTTTTGTAGCATTTTATTTTTTGCGGTCAACTTTGTACCTAACTAATATTATTTTTCACCGTTGTACTATAGTATGTCAATTTTAATGGGACGACGACTTCTATAGTTCTATTCTATAGACAGTCACGCGGTTCCACAGAGGGGGGAGCCCGCATTGTGAGCGCTCCGGGTATACGCGTGACACGCCACACGCAGCCGACCATTGCACATTTTCATTGCCATTCATAATATAATATTATTATATTATTATGTAATATACAGAGTGTAACATAAACACCTGATGAAAAAAAATAAATATTGAAACTAGTTAAATTAGTTAAACGTATGATACAATTTACAAAAATTATTTGAATATTAAATGATTTAAGAAAATATATGGGTATATAAATGTCGTCAGGAAATTTAGAAAAAGAATATTTCGAAAACAATTACCTATTACATTTCTGAAAATAATTACATCATTCTAAATTATGATATTTAAAATTTTTTTTTAAGAATTAACGGTTTTACGTTAATATACATTTTTACCATAAAAATTTGTTCCAAAAAAAAAAAAATATTTAATTAAATTTAAAATTTTTGATATTAAAAAAATGAACTGTACTTGTGGCACAGCCGTCTATAAATTATTAAAAATATAATTTAAATATTGATCCTTAGTTAGAATACAAGTTATTTTATTTGTAATGTGTTTCTGCCACACTGTGTATACATATAGATACAGAGTATCCCGTGAGAATTTACCCATTATAATAAAATTCATCATATTTCTGTTTATTTTGTAAGTCTCACAAGGACAAAGACTACAATTATTTCATATTTTAATTTAATTTTTTGGTAAAAACCTTACAAAAATAAGATTAAAGATAGCCATTTTGTAGTTTATTTTTCTGAAAAATTTGACGAAGAGCAACAAATGATTAAATAAGTCTTATCAGAAAAAGAGACAAGATAATATCAAAACATAAATTAATGACTAAATGGTATTATTTAATAATTCCAAATTTTTCTCAAATCTAAAAAAAATGTAATAAACTACTTGATTAATGAAAATATAATGTTGAAACGTCAACATTTTCAAATAAAAATAACTCTACTAAGGTACGAAGATCTGAGGGCACGGCAGTGCGCCCGCCAAGTTCCAGCAATGCCAGTGTATCTTAATTCTTTACACGAACCAATTCGTCCAGTTTTTCTAACCCATATATCTCTGTTTCCTCTTAAGATAAACTTTTGAAATTTAAAATACAGATAAATCTAGAGTAGCTTAGGACGCTCTAAGAAAATGAGACTTTAATATTGTGCCATTTAAAAAAGGAGGATTTCAAAATTTGCAATTTTGTTACTGACTCACTGAATCACTCACTGATCATCAACGTTATAAGACACTTATCGTATAGGTAGAAACGTGAAATTTGGCACAAAGGTAGGTTTTACAGCGTAACTAAAAAGAAAAATATAAAATTTGAAATTTTTTCAAAATGAATGGCGTTTTAGAGAGTGTAGCATAGAATTATTGCCAGGACGGTATAGTTATTGGCATTAAATAATTTTGGTTTTTTTTACGGCAACACTGATACTGTTTTATTATAAAACATTATTATYGAATGTGCTCATTTATGAGTTACGTGGGTAATGGGGAGAAGAGAACTCAAGAAAAAGAAAAAGGTTTAGATTTTTTCCCAAAATGATTCATTCAAAAACTTGTCAAGTATTAAACAATACGAATAAAAGAGGAGTATTGCTCTTTAATGTAG